CACACTGGAGAAGTCAGAGCGACCAGCAGCCAAGCATGCCAAGGATCGCTTTAGCTATCAAGATAAACAATGAACAATGATTTATCACGGGTTAAAAAGCATGTGCTCGACAAGTCCCGTAGGATGGTTGGAGTAAAAAGTAAAACTTAAAGGATCAAGGAATAAGCAAATCGTTAAGCGTCTACCGATTTAAACGCACGATTGCATAACGATAGTGTGAAGGGGGAATGGGAGGTGCACACACAAAATAGTATAGAGAGCCGTTATAATTCAGTAAATGTGTGAGAATGAAAAAAGCAAACGAGAATGCTCACTCGTGTGTCGCTTCATTTGACAGATGTGGTATGCTAATCCAGTTTAAATAGATCCACGTTACTCATGGACACTTCTGTATGTATCCTCACCGCCACGTTCCAGAGAGGGCCGTTAAGCACATGGTTTGGTTTGCGCTGTTTCATCCTCCGAGTGGTACGGGTTATGACAATGCGTTGGAAAGCATTTCATCAAGAAGTTTTTTGAATAGCGTTAATGTTGGGGGAAAGAATAACGTGAGTCGGAAGGGGGTTCCAGGCAAGGAACACACGGAGGGAGAAAACGTTACGTCAACCATCAAATCGACTGTACTGCATACCTATTTTGAGCTGATGGATTCTCAGGTTCGCAGTTTGGCTCAGCTGCAACAGGTTGCGACATGGGTGAGTTGAGTTCGTCAGTATTAAGTAAAGCATTATGAGGTCTCCTCGCTGACGTCGATATTCACCACTGTATAATCTCAGGGACTGCAATCTGTGTTGGAAAGAGAGATGAAACAATCCTCTAACGAGTTTGATCGCCTTACGTTGCGGAGCTTCAAGTGCATCGACGTCGCGCTTGCGCCAGGGACGCCAGACTTGGATCGCATATTCCACGAGGGATCTTACCTAGGAGTTCAGGATTTGTGAAAAGAATGACGACTCGAAATTCCCGAAAGCCCTCTGTAAGAGTCAATGATGTTGACTGGCTCCTTTGATACCTTTTTAGCCTGTCTCGAGCAACCAAGGTCGTACTTCACGATCACACCGAGGTCATTTTCTTGGGAAGCAGGTTGCAACAACGGCACCCAGAGTCGATATTTAGGAGTAATCTGATGGCGTATACTCAAAATCTTGCACTTCTCCACGTTGAACTGGAGCAGATTATCGGTTGACCAAGTATAAGCCCTGTCGAGATCACTCTGTAATGCAATTTGAACTTCCGTTGTCCTTATGTCACGCCAAATGTTGACATCATCTGAAAATAGTAAGAAATCCGACTGCGGTGCACTGCCAAAATCGTTAATGAATGTTAGAAATGAACGTGGCCCCAGTCCCGATCCTTGGGGCACGCCACACTGGACGTCAATTGGGTCGGAAATTGAGCTGCGGACGCTCATATTCACTTGACGTTGAGTGAGGTAGTTGCCGATGCAAGCGAGTATAGGTTCACCGATTCCATAGCTTCGAGGGATGTGAAGGAGAATGCGGTGGTCCAAACGATCGAACGCTTTCGAGAAGTCCAGGTAGACAACGTCAAATCCCAATCTGGCATTGGCTGACTCTGTCCAGCTTGCTCGGGCTAGTAGCAAGTTTGTAGTTCAGGATCGATTTCGGCGGAATCCATGTTACTGTGACACTAGGATGTTGTTCCTCCCAAGATATACCATGAGCCCCTCAGGAATTATACGTTTCATTACTTTGGATAAAACTGGGAGCAGAGTAATTGGACGGTAGTTCGAGGGCACCGCACAATCACCACTTTTGTAAATAGGAGTGACTACTCGAGGTTTCCACATCGTGGGAACTTGCATTTCATCGAGACAACATTGAAAGAACCGAACTGATGTTTCGGCAAGGTTCATGGCAGCTGTCTTCAATGTCTTCGGTTTGATGTCGTCTACGCCACGTGAGCTGTGTACGCGCAATGACATTTAGCATTTTCATCACATTGGCTGCTGTGAACGATACGTGGTTTAACCCTGGTGACGATGGGAGCTGTGTCAAAAGCGGATGAACTGATGATTCACTCCGGAAAGTAGGGATGAAGTGCTGGCAAAGCGTGTTGACCACATCTTGTGTAGTGCGCGCCAGACCATCTGTTGCATGTAAAAGTGGGATCCCACGCTGCACTCCGTGGAGTTGTTTACGTGTTTATACAGTAAGTTGGGATTTGTATTGAATTGCGCCGCTAAGTTCTTTTGATGTTGGAGTTTGTCTTCGCGGTTAAACTTGACGCAGTTTCGTTGAGTTGTGTAAGCACCCCAGGTTAGGTTACTTGGACAGTGAGCTTAATCTCACGGTTCTACTATTTATTGTACAGCGGCTATTGTGTGCACTTACGGTGTGACGCTATAATGACTTGTCGGACTCTGAGAAACTCCGACCACATTAGCAACTTAAACAAAGCATAAACTTGAGGAACCACCACCTTAGACTGACGCGTTAAAATAGCCGCCGCAATATCGTCGGAACATCTGTCGTCGTGTATGCCAAGCATGCAAACGTTTCTTTGCTCAGGTTGTTTTAGCCACATATTAGCTGCGTTCAAGGAAAATGCTGACGCTGACTTAATCCACTTCTTCACGAAATATAGTCATTGCACCGGAAGGAGAGGACAAAACGGGACAACCGTTCCCTCACCAAGACTCCTTCAACATATAAAATATAGGCTGATTTACGTATGTCTTTGTGCGAGCGCTATGACAAGTTTACAAAAACTCCCAAGATTCGTTTTCTCATCCTGGCACTCGCTTTTTTACTTTTGATAAACCATTGTTTTATTGTTCTGTTATACGGGTCAGAGGGAGAAGGTGCCTATCGCACAGTATGTGATCGCGTGTGCCAACACCGTCGAATACTACAAAAATACGTGGCACGCATCATCTAGGTCAATCCCCTCTTCATGTAGGATGAAGAAGACACGACTGTAGATAGAAACGAAAGCCACTAATAGTATACTGAAGCCTTCGGATGGACACCTTCTGAGATTATGTGGTGTTCTTGTAGTTCAGGAAGACAGATGTAATCGGTTCCTCCCAGCGCTCGTTGAACCAGTGTAGAGTGGAGAATATGGAGCCACTAAATAAAATAGTTTGCCCTGACTGTGTGAGAGAGCTCTGAATTCCTTGAGACGAAAAATAAACCAAATTTGGGCAACGAAAGAGCGCTGTCGTTTGATGCCAACTTATTGTTTACAGACATTCCGCCGTTTGAAATGGCGCGTTATGCGCGTTACAACTGCCAACGTCCGGGATTATGACGGAATATTTGCCCAAAGGAATACTACTTTGTTTTACCCCATACGTTCAGTTAGTCTTCAACAGCGAATTGTACTGTCAGATTGTTGGAGTGGTCCTACGACCTTAGTTTGAGGTAGCTATTGTTAGAAATTGTTATGACGAAATCGCATATAGCCCAGTAAGAACATACAGCGACGAACCTGTGGTAGATGTGCTTAATTCTGGAGACACCGCAGTTTTCTACTCGGAAGATTTTGATGCACAGAAGTCTAAATCGTTTACTGAGGCGCTTAAGAATTTTTGCTTCATCTGCGAGCAGCAGTCAGAGTCCGATTTCCTTTTCTGGATGTAAACGTTATCCATAACACTGAAGAATCATGCAAAAGGATGACACTTAGTAAAATGACATGCACTAAACAATAAATTGACTTCCACGGCGAAATACCATGTCAGTACCCCCGGAGTTTGGCCTGATCTCGCACTTCAGGGTGAGTAGAGTTTTAAAGCATGAAACCATCAACAAAGAACTGCAAAGACTCAAAGACGCCTTAGGAGAAAGTGGTTATCCAAACAAATTTATCATGAGACATCAGAGAGAGGAGAGAACGAGGGGAGGCCGACTAGAAGTAGTACTTCCAAGGAATAGCCTTAACCTTGAACAGCGAGCCCGCAGCTAATATGTCACCTCGAAACCTGAACACACCATTGCGAAGTTGAGTTTCGGGGTTCACTTGAGAATAGCCTTTTAAGGCAGGCTACTGCTTATCAACTCATTGAAAGACAGATAACCCTCTTTGATTCCTTCAGTGATTGTCAGCCAGCAATAGTGCTAATGTAGCACGTGAAACCTGGATGGCAAGTATGTGGCGCCTATGACATGTAACCTCTGTTGTCTAAGCATATGGGCCAGATAAGATAATTGTTGTCGGGTTTTCGAGCATCCGCCGTGTGACTTCGATTGCGGCGCGCAATCTCAGTTGGGACCTCAGGGTCCGCCTCGGCCATTTTGATCCCTGGGACCGCCACCGAAGTGAAGAGTTTCGGTGTTGCTATCTGCCATTTCTGCATCCACGACGCGTACTACACGGTGATGGAAGACAGCAACACAGAAATGTAAATATAAGTTATTAGTATTAAGTTTTCCTTGGGAGCGCTCCTGTAACGGAGGATGATAAATGACGGTTTTCATTGAGCTGAAAAGTTGATCAATTCCAGATAAATAAACAAATTCAACAAAGTATTGTAGTTCACAAATTATCCCCATTTGAGTCAGAAGTAAGCAGATGCGCGAGGAATACTTTTTCCGATAATTCTTATCGGGCGTATACAATTATGTAGAAAAAAAATGCAAGCAACCCAAAGCGTTTAATGACCTCAACAAGTGCTTGAGGTTTAACACCCGGCTTGCTAATGAGAAGACTGAGATCCGTTTCATCCAAGATTTATACTCTCCAATATTTTGCTTCATAAAAGTATTTGAGGTCCTGCCCTCCCAATGTAGTGACAGATGGAGGTACGCCATCTGCATTCAACATGGAGGACTCAATAGAATTCATTTCTGGTGGATGTAACGATGAGGAATATCAGCTGTATCTAGCGTCTTAGTTCGTCTAATTGACCGGCGAATCTATTTGAAAACCAAATGGCCAACCGTAACCTCGTCGTCAGTCACACACAGAACTACCTACGGTGTCCAGTTGGTGATTCATTCTTTGTTGAGCCGCTCTTTTTGTTCACTTCTAAATAGTTATTGTACTTCTCGGGGAGCCAACGCGTTGGGAGACTCACTTACAACTTCTGGTCGATTTGCTCATGACAAACGGAGATCCAGATCAAGTCCCGGTTTCGATACCGGAAGAACACATTCCTGTGATCGCTTGTAACATGGATTTGGTATACATGGATCAAGCGGTGCTGCCTCGTTTTGGCCACGGAGCTTTTCTCGCCTGTTTGCAAGCGCTGTATCGTCAGTTCACAGGACAAAAGCTGAAGTACACATCCTTGTTGGGCAAACCAAGTGAGATCTCACTTCGATTCGCGGAGCATACATTAACGTTGATGTCCAAACGAATGGGATATACGCGTTCCATCGACCGGATTTACTTTTTCGGGTAAGTGTCTGCCTAATGATGCTATTGACCGTTTGGCAAATATCAGCTCAATTTGGTATCGCACGACGTACATCTCAATAGCGTAATGTATCAGATCGGATTAAATAGTTGAATTAATGACTAACGTTTTAAGGCTATTATTGAAAGGTAATTAAATTACGTATAATAAATTTGAGTTTCCGGACCCCATGTGCTCACGTGGAACGTTGGTACGATGTTTCTCTAGTAAATTGCCGCTTAGACACTACGAGGGTAGAAAGGATGACCAAAGGTATGCATGGAGCAAGCCCCGATTAATTAATTCCGAACCAATGTATCGACGTACGGTGAGCACTACCACATCGGGGCACTTATCACTTGCAGTTCATTGAAGTTTCCAGGAGCAACTTGAACAATCAAGAAGATGGGCGCTTACCTACACGAGTAATTCGTTTGTACAAATGGAATGGTGGCCATTGCATACCTCGTTCCTTTTCTTTCATTTCAGATTTGCTAAGGAAAGAAAAATGCTTTTATGCTAAATGTGACAGCGCCACATGGTACGAGGTAAAAGGTTAAATGAGGCAGGAAGCTAATGCAAGCATATAGTATCCTTTATTGCCGTTGGTTAGCTTATCGTGATGGAATGATCAGCTTTGAAACACTGTTCCGCCATCGTTTACGCTGCATAACCGAACATCAGAATGTTATCGGAGTCTTGTATTTGGGAGAGCTTCTATAGGTATAAAGGATACTTCTACTTGAAAAGTTGAGAGTGGACTAAATGGAAAATACGATGACTAGTCAAAGAAAGAAGAGACAAATTCCGCCTTTTTGAGAGAGCTTATACTCCCAACGAGGCTTTGTTACCTTTAGAGAAGAAGTTACCTAACCCACATAATATGAGAGAAAAAGCGTGTGTATCAGCTTTTGGTGAAAAGCTGACAGAAAACTGCTCACACTGCCTTCCTGTTTCTCACCTAACAGAAGTAGAGAAAATATTTATTTTCGTAACAGTTAATTGCTGTTCGAGGATTTCTGAACTGTTAGTCGGACTGAGTGTGATTGAAAAGAATAGCGAAAGATCTTTGGCAGCCAAAATGGTGACTCTAGTCAGCAGTTTAAGTACAAGATGGCTTCAGCCAGAATCCTGACGAGCAAAGCTTTGAAAATGGCTAGAAACGTCAGCTGTGGCCATCCTTTGGGTAGAAGTGTGAGCTGGAGGGGTCAATACCCATTGATGTATCAACGCCCAGTTAATAGACCTCAAAGAAAAAAAGTGCCTCTTAAAATGCCCTTATAGAATGATCGGATATCAAGTAGCTCACTGAGTACAGTAACGGAATTGGATTCCCAATCGTGTGAACCCGCAGGAGACAAAGAATATCACAACAACACCTACCGACGCTCAGTGTCGCATGCGGGTTCCCGGCAAACTTACCACTATCGTCACCCTCTCTGAACAAGTAGTATACGATCTGTTTGAAACGTTGTAACAAGTTAGGAACAAGATCTCTAGGGAGAAGAGCTTTCGTTTAAATAGTTGAGGTCATTTGTCAGTTGACGCGCAAGATGTGGATGTGTCGATAATTCCCAAAAATATCACTCAAGTAGTGCCGTGAACAAAGAACAACCGATTTACTTAATCTAATTATGTATGCAACCAGAGCGCTAATCAGTGGAGAAAACTGTTGATAACTATGTGCATATTTCTCAGGCGTGCAAAAACCTGTTTTCAATTCATACAGGTCATTTTGTACACGTGTTGTCATGATCGTGCGTGAGTAATGCATGTGTTGGCATGTGTTTTTGCCTATTCATACTGTTGTTAAAACACACCAGTCACTGAACTGTGGTTCAACGAGAGGCTGCGAACTGAGTTGCCAGATTGCTATAATTTCATGTAGGTCAAGTTTAGGGGTAGGCACTGATACGGCTCAAGCTCACGTTTCACTTAGTAATGAATAGTTTTGCTGATGGGAAGCTTTAACGTGCTATAAATACACAGTCAACACTGTTGACGATAGATGCTTGAAAGAAGGTTAAGCAAAAGAAATTGCAACTACCTCGAGTGAAGTGCTCAATGCAGAAAGATCAAAGTTGGTGAAGATTTATCCTAAGCAATATGCCGAAGTGAATTGTGGTTTTTCCGAGTTTGTCAGCTAGAGACAGCGTGTGACACCAGTTCGTAACTCCATGTTTACTATTGGTGGTATCAACTGAAAACAAATTTGGTCCCGTTGATCATGTGCGGTCCAAGGAGGTCACTTCATCATTGTATGCCGATAGTGCGATCTGCATCGTTAAGTTGGTTCATACAATTCTGTTATTTACGTGCTTCCTGCAACTTTTCAGAATCTTCAAATTTGACTAATCATATCCGACCAGAAAGTTAAAACGCACCGAACTGCCTCAGATTCCTGCCCGTCGCTGATTTCTCTGATGGGGGCCTCCATGTGAGGTGGAACAATCGTTGAATTTGATGTGCTCACTAGATAGTCATAATCGATACCGAACCACTGTCATAAAATCGTGTAAGAGGAAGAGATGAAGAGTTCTGACTACGAAGAAGACATTGGGATGATTGGTCAATGACAACAGACTTATCCTCAATTGAAACTGTAGGCGAGCACGTGTACCAAGGTTGGCCGTTTGATAGCTGAAGATAGGAGGATTGATTTGAGTCCTAACAGCTTTTAAACCATCAAGAGGTGGATAGCTGTTAGCCACTGACCACAGGTAACACTGTACTCTATGACAAGTTCTGTGCGTATATGTGCAATCGTGGTTTAAATAGCAGAACGGAAACTCAGTTCAGGGACGTAGGGTCACCACAAAAACATACCTATGATGTAAATGTGTAAACCACAACCATTGCGAGCCCTGCATGCGTGAGCATGTTGCATATGTAACTACGATCGATCCCTATACCACGAGCTACATTATTATTATTATTATTACTATAGGGTAGCGCGTTTAACTCTATGTCAAGTTGCGGCAGTGTTTACCAGAGTGTCTATAACCAGCACACAGGCTTATGGTACGTCAGTTGTTCCCCCATTTCTCACGTCTTCTGAGGGATAGAGATGTAGAAAAAAGACCTTATTGCCAGACTGAATCGATGATAACACCATAGCCACATTGTTAAATTGCTGGCGCACCATATACTTTTGTCATACTTTTATTTGATTTTATTTGTGCCCTTAGCCTATCTGTTGTAGCTGAATATTCACTCTTCATGGGCACGTAAAGCGCATTGTTGACTGGACTTGATGTTATTGGCGGATCGTTGATGAGGATAAGCGCTTCAGTCGGCAATCTCTACATTCCAGGATCAAATTTCAGTTCCGGTATCTCTGATGAGTGCATACAATTGAGAAACGGATTGTGTAGTGTAGTTTTACAATTAGGCACTACCCAGATTGAATGTGTTTTAAATACGGTACATTGTGACCGAATTGACCAGTACTTTGATTCCGACTAAATCTTGTCTGCATGTGACCGCAAGGATCACATGTTTGTTTTTTTAATCCTAATTCTAAAGTCGCGTAGGGGACCGGGTGACCAGTTCAGTATCCAGACCGTGAATGAGGGTAAGCGCTTCAGGCAGCAATTTATATTTCCTACGCGCGACTGGTTGTGGTTTCTTGGCAGCGAAGCGTTGGTACTGCGTATCGGCGTCGTGCTGATGCCTTTGAGTTGCCAAATGAAATCGTGGTCCCGATTGAGATCGTGTGCCCCGGTCCATCCGCACTACGGTTATCGCCACCCTCTCCGAATACTTAGTATACGAGCTGTTTGATACATTGTAACAATTTAGGAACAAGAGCTCTAAGAAGAACTTTTGTGTGCACAGTGAAGATATTAATAGTTGTTCCTCTGACGGTTGACGCGAAAGCTGAGGATGTGTCGACAATGCCCAAAAAGATATTCACTCAATTAGTGTCGAAAACAAAGAACAACCAATTTAGTTAATCTAATTATGCCTGAAACCAGAGAGCGCTAATCAGTGGAAAAAATTATTGTTAACCCTATGCATATTTCGCAGGTAAAAGTTCAAAGGAGGGTGAAACTAACAGCCCCATTAACAACAGAGCATTTGGACATGAGATGAAACTGAATCTAAGTCCGAACCCATCAATTGTTTCATGGTCCTGCTGTTTACACAGAATAAATAATCGCCATAGATCACCGTATTCTGTAAGCCTGGCGTAAGTCTGGACGCAACTAAGGTATTTGACCTACCGAACGAAGACCACATTTGAGGGAATTCAGAGCTACGGAATCGAAAGTTTATCCTACAGTTGGACAGGTGTCTAAGCACAAAACATCGTGTTACCCAATCTTACCGGATGGAAGTCCTATACCTTTAGTTCAGAAGTGTAGTAAGACCTAGTACCAAGGTCACCATCAACCAAGACTGAACAAATCGAAAGATCCACTTTGTTGGTGGTTTCAAGATATGACGGACTATCGAGGTAGTAGATGATTACATAGCACTACATGGAGACTTCGAAAGGGCTTATGATGTTACAGATTCATACGGACAGCACCAGCGCATTATTTATGAGTACCGACTTAGGCAGCATCCTTAATAGAGCACATCCTTGAAGGTAATCTCAGGATGCCTGTAGTAGGTTAGCATGGTGGTTGACTTGTCTAGAAGAGAAGGAAACAGTTGAACCTTACTACGGATAATCGGGTGATTCCACCACCTCATCTTCAAAACAGTTTGTTCCCTTCTGTCGTTTGAACAGCACAATGAGAATGCGAATACTGGTAGATGATAACATTACGTAGTGGAAATTTTTATCTTTCATCCTCCGCGAATTCTCGACGCTTATGCGGAGTCTGACAAGAAGTACTCCAGCTAGGCGTGGTACTCCGAGTGGAACCACAAGCTCGCTGCCATTCAAAATACACAACGGAGGACGACTAAGAAGAGCAACGGCCCGCTACATCTCTTACCGAATTGGGCTGATATAATTGTAAGTGTAGGGTGGACAATATCAAACTTTCAGAGTGACCTCGAAATTATGTACCAAAATCCCAGACAACCCAATTATTTCCCAGCCACCTGTTAACAGTGTAGCTCGAAGTATAGCTGGCTAGAACGTTGTTAGAATATTCTTATCAACTATCTATCCGTGTCTTCCTAGATAATCAAAAAGCGAAATGATGAAACATTAACTCAGTTACATGACATAGCATGATCCGCGTTTATGGACAAAACAGCTTTTCGTAAGGTATCCTTTTTGCCTTTCTTATCTACATAGAGCAGACAGATTTCACTTGCATTTCTCTGCGTACCACGCTTTTGATTACTTACGGGTTTTGTGAAGATTCGTCGCAATTAGACTGAAGCAGACAGCCACCACACATCCAGAAAAATGCCAGACAACCGTTTTGTCCTACTGGGACTCGTCAGTAGCGCGCACCCGCCAAATTCTGCCGGATTGGAACCTAGGACCCTGCGAGCCAGCGACTTATGCCACTGAGCAACGGGCGACAGCAGGGAACCGCCACCGCCGATATCTAACTGCGATATAGTGCGGCTCATCCTCCACTGTCATGCACGTTAGGAACATGCAGGGGATAGGCCTGCCCCCCAGAGCAATAACTCGATTGCAAGCCACCTCTAATCGAGGTGGCATGGAAGCTGCTAAGGCGGCTACTGATTATTTGTAAGTAACAGGGGGATTTATTTGGTTTTATGAAGTCGTCGATTACGGGTTATTGGCTATGCTACAATTTTTACATGTATCCCTTTAGGAGGGTTAAAAATCATATGCCTTTTGAATGGTAATAAACCATTGTTACACTGTACAGTTTCTAGAGTTGCCAGACCCATGTATTGTTTATTCTGCAGCGAATTATCCATCTCCACCGTTCATCATCTGTTGTCATCAAATGGTCAATGTCAGTTGATCAAAGCCAAGCTGAACCTTACCGCCTGGCTAAAAAACATCCTCCTACTGCATTTCGACAATAAGATTTCATTATGAACATAGCGCTCCCAGTAACCGTTTACAAATCACAGGCAGCTTGACAGTACTTACGCAGTAGCTGTTAATGGTTTTGTTGCCGTCATTCTAACGAAGCACACGAGGTTGAGAGCACCGCAACGAAACTAGGCAAGCGATCGGACCGAATTTGCCTGTGGCTTATCAGAATTCCAGGGTAAATAGCATCCTTTAGCTCAGTTCCCTCACTTCTTTGACAGTGACAATCCGGACGTGGATGTGTTGGGGGCGAATTTGTACAACAATTTTCTTCGTCGGTTCCGGCATCTCTCGGGAGGCGACAAACACGGAAACGATGAACACGCGCAACATCAACGCGTCTCGGTGGCGCAATCACGCACCGTTCCGCCACAAGCGGATCTTCTTCCCCAGACTGCTCGTGGAATCGATGGTGAGTAGAAACCTTTGGTTCCGTTATGAGTGAGGATAGAGGAGCGAGTTTTCAAAATATGATAAGTCACGATGATGTCATTCCGCAGACAGTGAAACCTTTCACTCTTATACTCTTAGGATATTTGAGATTTTATTTACTCCCTCCTGTAGGGTCTCAAGTGTAGCCAGATCGTGTTTTTGCCATGCGTGAATTCGTAGCCCACATGTTGTCGCAAGTAGGCGTTGAGCATTTGAGGGATCGAAGGATCAAATCGCCTGAACGCCCTTCGTAAGAGACTCACGTGTTGGTTTCCGGTTGTTGACAACTTCAATACCTGTTTAGAACAACCGACTTCGTTATGAATAATTACACCAAGGTAGCGCTCCGGGGAAGTGGATTGCAGAAGGGTAGTTCAAGCGAATATCACCTAAGCATACTTAACTGAGATGTTCTATTCCAAAGTTAATGTTATATTAAAATACCAAGCTAATCAGCCGTTCCAACACCAGATTCAATGCAGCGAAGCACACCAGAATTGGACCTTATGAATTATGTGCATTGTTAGAGCGTTCAAATCGTAGTCGGTAGCTGCGAGCCGATAAATGATAAAAAGACCGTTGTTTCAACATCCCATCAGTTAGCGATCGAAACCATAGTGAAACCACACAAAAACATCGGCAATAATCGAGTCAACATCAAAAAGCCCGACTGCGATTCGGTATGCTGTGAGAGTTGAACCGAAACGTGTGCTGGTGAAACAAATCTAGCAAGCAACCTGACCAGACGACTACGAGGCCACAAATTGTCTAGGCCTATTACTACACATAGAGGCTGTCTGACATCGGATCAGAACACTCGGATGGCAAAGGGGTGGAAGATAGCGTATGTGAATACTTCTTTGCCGATGAATAAGTGAGATGGCCAAATCGTACAAAACACAGCTTAAAAGAAACTCCGAAGAAACAGATGACACGTGTGTGACTTGGAAAATGCCGACTGATGTGTTCTCAACTTAGACTAACAGGTTCCAAACTTTTATGTGCTTTCAAGCTTCTTGAGTGTCAATCATTTGTTCTCCTCCGGAGATACCATTGAGTGCGCAGGTTCGCGAGGTATGTCCGTCAGATGCGTCTTATTTCACAAGAATTGGTGCACTTACTAATGTTAGTCATTAATAGTTATCGTAAATTTACAGCTAGGTGCGCTCAGATTTGTCTATCGTCTTATGGCACAATACATAGACCTTTGTTCGTGTGTCTGCAACTTCTTACAATGCATGATGGATCTTCTCTCTATGACATATTCTAGCTATTCTGGTCCAAACTGGAGTGTACAGTCCCAACGTGAAACTCCAAAATAGAGCAAACTACTGTCATCGGGATTTCCAAGGAGCCACCGATTTGGTTTTACCCACATTCGAAGTGAAAGACTGTCTTGAGGGTATACAGATGGTGTTGCAGCTACAAAACTTTCATCCAAGCGTACGCGCGGACAAAGTGGAGCCATAGCAATACAGAAAGAGGGTGGTTCTATGCAGTACTCCCTCTTTCTTCATCATCATCAAGTTTAATCGTTTAATATGTAATGTCCGATTCTTCTCTTCAGTCATTTAACAGAATAAATTTAATCCTATCACGTCCAAAAGCTATTTGTTGCTGTCAGCGTCCCGTGGTAGTGTGTTTGGACAAACTAAGCTGGAGTAATTTAGAGCACAGACAGGGGATACATGTTTATTTTCAGTATTTCAACGTAGAACATGGCGCATATGGAGACCAGTTTGTTCGAAGGGGGTTCTTTCAGCAAAAAGTACGGCACGTGGGTATAATCTATACATGTCTAAACTGAAGAGAGATGTGGCAGAAGTGGGTGTAGTGACAGCTGATATGAATAAGAGTAATTCATAAAGCAGAAGCGTGTAGCACCATTGGGGTCGTAGCGACCCTGCGAGAATAACTGGAGAGATGTAGTCATCCAAATGATGGGGCAGTGAGCACGGAGTGGGAAAATCTCGGTGATCGATAAGTTCGGCAAATGGTAACAACACAAAGACGAGAGCTAGTACGGGGACGAACGCTGGAGGACGGAGGCATAAATCCATATTGTATCGGCAGTTCCATCAAGTGTAACTGGGGTGCATATAGATATGCAACAGCAATTTGACTAAACAAATTTGAGTTGCAAGGGCACTTGGAAACGCAAGACCGGCAAACAGTTGTTCTGAACAAGCAGGACCGAGTCTATTTGGCTTGTTGTGGAACCTTCGGTATGATGAAAGAAACGTGATGCAACGAAATCTAGAATGTTGAACACACTACTGTGATTGGAGTACCATGTCGGGCTGTACAGACGGATCCAAAGGACATACTAGACAACCGGTGGAAAATGAACCTGACGTAATAGACCACTGGATGCTGATTGACTGATGTTCATGTGCGCCACGGTGAGTTCCTGTCGTTTGTTTAACTGAATCAAAGGAGAAACTCTCGGTTCCAAAAGGCCATTGCTTATGGGAGTATACGAAACAATACATCTCGAGACGCTTGGTCTATCAAACGTGCTGTAATTTGCACGGGTTTGTTCTCATTGAATAAACGCTTGTTCTATCAAACGTGCTGTAATTTGCACGGGTTTGTTCTCATTGAATAAACGCTTGTCCATGAAGTGTCGACCTTCGCAACAAGTTCTATCCGGGTGAGTTGTGACCAACGGAATTCTGCCTTCGGGTAAGCTGTGCAGGCACATGCTTCGTCATCCAAATTCGATCTACTTTGTCTATGTTGCTGGTTTCACAATCACAGAAGTTGGCTATGAACACGCCACTCAGAGAATAGTGTGTTCAGAGTGCAGTGGCATTTCTCATGTGTTCTCGTCACAAGGGTTGTCCTAATTCAATGGGGGGGGGGGGATGAGTGCAAACAAACGATTACCGGAGGGACGCAGCTTCTGAGACGATACCCCATTACAGTCCATACAAGGCAGCTTCTGGTTGTTGAAAGTAGCTAGTCAGTGAACCAGTCAAAACGCGTGGTGCTTGACATCTGCCCGCTAATTTCGAGAGAGGGTTCCAATCCGTGGAATGCGAACTTATGAACCAAGCGGAAGGGTGTATAGGCTCGCAGTTACTGCTCACAGTGGAGTGCTGAGTGTGGTAATGTCTAATGATTCTCGTCAAAGATCCGACTGCATCATTTATCAGTAATGGGTGAATGGAATGGGCAAAAGTTAGCTCCCACTCTAGACAGATAGCAGGGTTGCAACTACAGAGTGCAACGCATGACCATCGGAACGTATACAATGTTTCGGTTGATAGTTCGTAAGAATGGACGACGAGGGATGTGAACGACGAACCGTCTCTGAACTCCGAGCAGCATGCAGAATCTTCGCGTCAAATTCAGAAATCAAAAGCTAAACGGGGACCACAGTACTACCAGAGGAAATATTAAGTAATTAGATAAAGAGAACATGAAGGATATCCATTCTGTATAGAATCAGACAACAGGACCGCGGAGACCAAGCACCTAAGGCCAGTGGCTGAATAACTCAGGCATCTGGCTTGTAACACACGGGTCTTCGGTTCGTGTTGGTGTAGGCGCGGCTACCACGAAGTACTCTTACTCAGTACGTGCCTGCTTTTGCCGCGGATCAGCGAGGTGTCGGTAGGAAGTACCCACGCAGTTATGGAGCCTGCTCCGCTAAGTAGGTGAGGACAGCTGACCTATACATATAACTATGCTCTGTCTTTAATATACCGGTCTAGCAGAGCTTGTCCTCTATTTTCCCCTGGTTGGCTTGGAAGGCGCATACGACAGAGAGCAGAGGCAGGGCAGCCTTACGACACATGTAAACCGCAGTTAACAATTGGGTGCAGCTGTGTGCAGCCATGATTGAGGTCCTACTCTGAGCCACTAGACTGTGTACATAGCACTGGGGGAATCAGTGTAGTGCGAAGAACGCCGGTATCATTCGCGCAGTGAGAAACGAATACTCAGGAGCGCACAATCACCAACTTGAATTGGACAAGCTGCTGTGGAACGGGTGGTAATCACGGCGACTCCTCGGACTCGACGGTTTCAGTGCAACACACGAAACAAAAAGTGGGTGAACACAAAGCGTAAGATCAAGAAAGTGGGGTGTAGAGTTCAACGAAATGGTGGTGGGGTCCAAGGACGCGAATGCAATTGCGGTGAATGCGGGTGAAGAAAGGGTGTGTGGTCGCAGAGACAAAAAAGCAGGACAGACAAAAAGTGCGGATGGCAAGTTCTGATGAGATCACGGGGAGAATGAGTACAGGTATGCGTTTGCACTGACCGAAGTTTAAGTGCCAGAATCAATAATCACACCCACAAGTGGCTACGCCGACGGATGGGAGCCGTGAGGACAGAATCAGGCGAATCGAGAAAGCGAGAAACAGTTATATGGCTGTCGACTTGCACACTCCATTTTCGTCCAACGAGAAACTCACGGGTAACCGGTGCAGTGATCCACCAACACCACACACTTTCGGCCTGTGGAGCAGGACCTCACAATTCACCTTGTAGAACGCTTTACTGAAATCAGTGTAGATCGCGTAAACAGACTTCCCCTGGTTCACTGCCTGCAGATTAGTAATGTATGGACAGCCTACCACAAAAGCATGTTGTGCGGGAGTCAGATGTTTAGATCGGAAAAGGTGTGGTCAACTCTTCGAGACATTCTCGAATACTTTGGCCAAAGTAGGTGACAAACAAACCGGCCTGTAATCATTCACTTTGCTGGGGTCACCATCTTTCGGAAGTGGCCTTATCATTGAGTATTTCCGATCGATTGATGATGAACCTTCGTATAGTGACCCGTTAAACAAGTCAGTCACGCCAGGTGAGATGATGGCTGTTAGGGACTTGAGAATCGATGGGTGGAGTCTGTCAGGTCCAGCAGATTTGGTGCCGTCGAGGCTGGCAAATAGTTGATGCACCTTTTCAAGCGCGGTACACGTCGAACTCGGTACGGACAGCTGGTTATTTGCGAACATAGAAGCAAATATTGAGCCGCCAATGGAGGCACATGCTTACTGCTGTAGTTTATTCGCTTTCCGTCTGCGCTCTCACTGTTAGGTCATCTAACGGTTTCAGACACCGCCACACGTAAGTAAAAATTCTCTTTGGATCGGACTCTTCGAAATGTCGTAGCTTGCTCGTTTTCGCATGGTCACAAATATTTCGCTGTCTTCTAAACGGCTGGTAGTCGTCGATCGAGTCAGAGATAAGGAATTTGTCCCACAGTCTGCGACACCGCTGAACCAGTTCACCATATTCTTTGTCGAAATAGTGTGGCTTAAATGGTTCGACTTTCCAACACTTCAGTGGTACAAACTGAGAACAACGTAATATCAATCCTTCTCTAATAACAGCCCAGATGCAACTTGCAGCGGAGACTAATCCACGGTTCGCGACTCCAGTTAGACCAACAAAATCAGTTTTCCAAAGGTTGTAAACTAGCGGGAATACGGTAAAGGTATATCCATGCTTGCTATGAGCACTGAGCTGTCGCTTGCCGCTAAGAGCTCCAAGATCTGAAGGCTATAAACGTATTTTTCATAGCATGTTAATATCAAATCTAGGCCAGATGAAGTTGTGTGCAGCGTTAAACGTTTCGGTTGGTATATGTGTTGCGCTGCTGCACTTTCAAGTAGCAAGTCCACGAATTTTCACCTAACAATGTCAGGGCATGAGTTAGACTTAGGCCAGCGTACTCGGGGACAGTTGAAATCACCCATGAGTAAAAATTTGGGGGTGGCTCATGTGGCACCTCAGATGTAGCAACTAATCTAACCAACGGCCCAGGGTACCACGATAAAATGCATCCACGAACAACTCTGCACGCCTGAAGTGGATCGAGCACTACAACTGTTCAAATAGGCGATCGTCGCCTCGGTAGCGGTTCACAAGTCTTGCACAGAAAAAGCCAGCGCGAGCATTCGGTAACCTATCACATCAGAAGCACGAGTAGTAACTAAATTCAACTTCATAGGTGAGTACCTCAGCATTCAACCACGTCTCCACGAGTTCCACTATGTCTAGTCACTCAAAAGCATTGAAGAGGTACAACTCATCACGCTAGTGCAGAGGACCGCAGCCGTTGGTCAAAGCTACACGCAGTCCGCAGTAGGAACTACCAGGTGTGCCCGAAGAGTGAGCGACCGATCTATCCGAATTTGCGTTCGCGTTGCAACCACACGAAAATTTGCAAGAGGTAGGTTTCGGAGCTGCTCTCTCCGAACACTGTAGTTCCAAAACTCTCCACTTCGGATGCAGTCAGTGATCGAAATGTCTTCGAAGCAAAGTGTAGCCTCGATGGAGATTGCGTGTCGTAACCTGGACACACGGCGGGTATTCTAAGACCAAACAATAAGAGGTTGATTTCCTTTTCCCTCACCGATTTGTCGCTTTAGATCGGTGATGGGACACAAGAGGCGCCCTCCGTCAGCTGGGTCAATATCCGCACGAACATGCACCCACTTACCCCTCGGCCTAATCAAACCGAGACATTATTAGGTTCGGGCTGATTTCGCTGATGAAATCTACCTGCATTAGCAGGTCCTTCTCAGTAGTGTTCAGTAGCGCAACTCCCTACTCGCTCTGCTCTGACCCGCGTCGAGAAGTTT